ATCCCTTACACGGGAGGTCTGTTAGGCAGGGGGCCACTGTATCTTACACTGGGACCCAATGCAACTTATAAGGACACTTGAAACTGAAAAAATGGTCCTCAAATTCTGAAAATATGATATGGACAACTTGCCAACACATATAGGAAAATGGGTATGATTCTTTTTTTCAATATTTGAATATCTTCTCAAAATGTTGAGCTCTCTATATTCACCAGAAATAATTTGTTTGGGTTTACTGTGATTCAGAATAAAAAACAGACTGTGTTGAGTTCATTTTTTTAGAGTTGTTTCCATTGATTGTGCATAGTATAGCATCACTTGGGCTTGTTTTTTTTTGTTTTCTGAGATCCTTGTAATGAAAAATATTACTTTCTGCATGGTTTATTCTGCACAAATTCTTTCCTTGATTTTGAAATTGAAAAAAATTTCAAATAATTTTTTGGGGATTTTCTTCAATTTTGATGAAGAAGAGACTCAACTGAATGAGTTCCCAATGAAGACTATGAGAAAGCTTGACCTGACATGCAGATGTTCTGACATAGAGGGACAAGGTCTTGAAGCCAATTATATCATATCTTGGGGCACCACTGTATGTAGTAATTTTTTCTAGAAGTTAAAAGGCTTGCAAATCATTCCTACAATAAAGATTACCAGCATAATTTTATCTGCCCAAATCAGCATTTTGGAACTATAGAAGTATGGAAGGGAAGGCAGTGATAATGTAGAACGCTTTCATGAATGATTCTTGATTGATGTATATACTGTACAATAACTTCAGCTTTTTGACTTGGATATGTCAATGGAACATGAAAGGAGACTATAGTAGAAAAGAAGCCAACTCAAAGAAAGCTGCCAAATTTTCCAGCAGCAAACAATAAACCATTCTTTGAAGTTAGAAAAACACTGCCTCTCACCACTGCAATCAGCTCAATTGGAATGGCAAACGTCATGGTCTGTTCATCTTCCAACCAGCATCTGAAATTTCATGAGATATCATTTGAAAAATTTTGGATTGACAATAAGGGAAAACTTGAAGTGTGACTCACAGGCTTTTGGAGCTATATGCTTTGCCAAGACTTGCAGCAGCAACAATCCCAACATAAACTGCTGGAACAGCATATGCACCCAATGCCAGTAATTTCTTCTTGGTTGGAGAAAGCTTTCTCCTCTCAGGCGACTTTGTGGAGCAGAGAAAACAATAAAGACTTTATGATTAATAAAAATTCAATGCCTCTGTTTCATAATTCTATGCAGAGCATTGCTATAAAGTTGACAGCGTTTTTCTATAGACATACCGGAGTTATATATATATATATATATATATATATATATATAT